CCAGCACTAGGTTTCACCACAACAGACTTAGTACTTGGTTTTCGGGGAAAAGACAGTCAGCATCTCATATGGGAGTTCTTCTGCCTAGAGGAATCTAAGCCCCAAATGGCCACTCTAAATCTTAATATCTCAAGTAATTAACAAATAATAAAACACAAATACTCAGAAATATATTTACAAAAGTGAAGCCTCTGATAGATCTAGCCCACATGGGTTCTTGAACTAAACAAAAACAAAATGGCTCCTGTGGTTTATTTAAGGTGATACACCAAAGGTAAGGTTTCAAGGGTGGAGTCTTGCTTTGTGATATATTGTAGTCAGCAGATTGAATGACATCTTGGAAGGTCACACCCATCTCAGGTGCTGTGTGGGATCTTAGGCAGAGCTTGAGATGGAGGTTTACCTGTATCAAGTGATCAATCCCTGAGGGGGTACTACAGGGAGTTCACAATGCCAGACCTAACCCCTCATTAGGCTACTATGTGCAACATAGTCCACACACAGCCCATGACGTCCAAGACACTAGGTTTAATGTCTAAAGCTTGTATATCTCTCCCTCGTTAAAGTAGAAGGCATCTTGTTTCTTGAAGGGCTGCGTAGCCTTGGGGGAAGTTTGACACAACCCACTCTTTCCTTCCTGCCTTCTTCAGTACATGTTTTCATTTTGTTATACTGGAAGAAGGCACTGTGGTCTCTCAACTGATTTCCTTAGTTCTTCTGAAGAAGTGGTTTGGTGCATGAACCGCTGGTCAACTTTTTGGGTTTATGGGAAGACAATCACAAGAGGACCTTAGTGGCCATCGTGTTCTGCCATATAATTCTTAAGGTTTCTTGAAGCTGAAGTCTCCACCCACACATCTTTTGTGCTCAGTGATCACCGTTCCCCAAACTTGCAAACAGGAGGCTTTCCCTGAAAATATTAAACTAGGAATGTTCCCGACCTTAGACACCAAACCCAAAAGAGAGCATAGTGAGGCATCAGATGGGGACAAAAAAAAAAAAAAAAAAAAACCAGCATCAGAAGTTAAAGCAGGTGCACTTTAGTTATTATCCCACATCCCTGGTGAGAGATTAGATAGTCTCTCTGAAAAGACTGAAGTGCTCCAGAAAATATTTGGGATGTTATAATTAAAAATACATCTCAGTTCACTTATATGTCTGTTGATGCACTTGGGGCTTCAAATCCATATTATAATGCTCTTAAGTGGACAGCCAAGGATCAGCAAACACTTGAGAAAATCCACCAATAACTAAACATCAAGAACAACTGAACAAGACAGAGGAAAAAGACACAAGACAAATGGGAATGAGCGTTAAAACATATAATTGTTCAGAGGAAAAAGACACAAGACAAATGGGAATGAGCATTAAAACATATAATTAATATGGTTAGAAAAATCAGAAACGATTATATTCATGAAATAAGAAACAGAAAACAATCAATAAACCAAAAAATATGCAGAGATCTAAGGACTATGATAGCTAAACATGTACTGGTTTAATGGATGGCTCAAAAGACAAAATCAAGAAATCTCCAAAAAATTAGAGCATAAGAAATAGTTGTAATAGAGATAGAAGACAGAGGAGAAATTAAAATTTGAGATTTAATTCTGGTAATCAAATATCCAACCCAAAGGAGTTCCAAAAAAGGACTGCACAGAAAAAAAAAATAAAAGGCATAACACTCTAAAAGGAATAAATCAATAGAATTTTACAAAACTGAAGGATATAAGCTGAGTCTCAAATTAAAATGCCCACTGAGTATCCACCAGAATTAATGAAGAAAGTGTAAATAGCAAAAAAGAGAAGACATCAAACCTTTAGGAGAGATGAATCAGGTTTCACGAAAAGGATCTGGAGTCACAATGGAACTAGACTTCTTAGTTCCAGCTTCATCGGTATACATCAGAAGTCTGGTTGCCATCATCAACAATTGGAAGTGAGTGGCAACCTCATTTCTGAATTAAAGAATAAGGGAAAGGCCCAAACATGTACAGGAAGTTACATTGTTATGGGTCTGAGCTGTCTATAGAACACAAAAAAGGAAAGTAGTAAAGTTTTAAGTAAATTAAAATTCAACATATGTCCCTGATCTTAATTCAGTCCTAGCTTAGCTGCTCTGAGGTTTCCTCATTTACCCACCTCCACCTCCTTCGTTCTGTCTTGGAGTCAAATAACATTTAAAAGTAAAGTCTTAGAAATAATTCCCATATATTCTTTAATTTATAACTCTCCTCCTCAATGATTTTAAAGGGTCATTGAAAGGAGAGAAAGAAGGAATTGGAAGTAGATTGAGAAAGTAGGGAAATCATAGTATTTACTGAATGTTCAAAATTGCCACACAAGAGCCATTGTTAGTACACAGGGATTTATTTCTCTTTGGCACCTTACCTCCAAACCATTTTTTTCTCTACTTAATATAGAGGTCATTCAGAAGCAAGCTGGGACAAAGACTATTAAAACCAGCATTTTTTTGACTAACAACACCTAGTGTAGTACTTGGCATAGCAAATAATCACCCTGCTCTTCCCTGCTTTTACTATCTTAGCAGTTCCTTCAGAATCTGTGTGGGGAAATAAATGCAATAAATGTATTGCTTGGTTTATTTTTTAGAATTGGTAGCTGAAATAGTTGGCAAAGAATTTTTAAAGAGTGCAAATTGAAATCCTTGTCATCTTATTCTTCAACACTAGGGGAAAAAAATAACCTTGAATGCAGTTTCTACTTTTCCCAAAACTCTCACGTGAGTTATTAATAGGTGACAAGTAAAAGTGTTTTGATTCACCTGCTAATGAGCTGAGAGATGGTCTGAAGAACAAAGAGAAAAATCAAAACCTTATGGTATTCATTTTAGATGAAAGAAAAAAAGCTTCAGTCAATTCAGAAAAATAATATCCAAGTGAAATTAACCCTTCATATTGTTGAAACAGAGCAGTGAGAGTAGCAACAGGCCAGGAACAGCATAAACAAATACCGGGAAAGTTACTTTGAGAATTCATTTACTTCATTCTTAACACTGCCATCAAACCTAAGAGGGTCATTAGAGAAACCTTCTGCATTACTCCACTTTAGCAATCACAGTCTGTATGTAGTATAAAGAGAAATTACTCATGTGCTCCTCCCACTCAGCAGTTTGTTGTTACAGTAAACATGACAGCAGAGCATGGCATTGCAGGTTAGTTTATATGGGTCTGACTAGACTGTAGAAAAAAGAAGGGTAAGACAATTAGAATAGAATTTATAAAAATGTGTTACTGAACTTTGAGCACACAGTAGATGGTCAGCATTTTTAAATTGACAGAGAAATTATTTCTTTAGCTAATCTAACCTAAAAACCACCCAAATCAATATACATAAGTACAAAATTTAAATGAAGCCTGCAGATTTCAGGTTGTCTTCATTCGTGGTAAAAATAGCCCCCGTTAAACCAACTGTCCTATGAATCAGTTCAAAATGATTCAACTAATGAATGTTTACCTACTGGGGTGCTTTGCCTAGTATTTACCACGATGTCCATAGAAAGCCATGAACTGACTAGCAGTTTAGAATAAGACTGCTTATTCTAGTGCAGACTAATAAATTCTGACTATTTCACTTTGAAAATAAAGAACCCCTCAGCCCATGATAGTTAAATCAAGCCTCGGGATGATATGGGATCAAACTCTGCATGAAAATAATTTTTAAAAGATGTATATGCATTATAACTTGTGGCACATATTTGCTAATTTTGTTTTGCGATTTTAGGTCCATTAGTGATTCACATCACTTAAATGAAAGAATTAAAGGTACACGTGAGCTGGATATGCTAGTTTAAGATCCTCATTCTTCAGGCTGAGAAAAAGAGCTGGAAACAATTTAATATTAAGAAGGGCTTATGAAAGATTAGAACTTAACCTGCTGGCTCCCCTTTATCACTCACCTCTTGTCTTTTTAGTATTTAAGTCGTTAACAAAAGAGATAAAGGACATCAAGTTGTGCATTCTTTACTGCCAATTATGGATTAATCAATAGAGTCCCAACTGAACATTAGTATAAATGAACATATTTCGTTTTATCTACCTAAAATGGCTAAAACCAAAAGCAATTACTTCAAATTTGACTATGCATAGTATCCATACAGGAAGAAAAACTGGACTGTGTAAACATGAAAATTGCATTATGGTGAATTTCACTACTAGTATTAAAATCCTCTAAGAAAAAAACATTCTCTATCCTTAAACTATGATTGTTAGAAATCCTTTCTAAAAATACTTTGAAAGGGGTGTCTTTCTTCTCTTTGCAGCAGTGCGGTTTGATTATTATTTTTTTTTAATTTGACGTTTTCCAAAATGACTTTTCCACAACAGCAGAACCGTGCAGAGCACAGAAAAGTTTGAGAGACAAAGAGGGGGTGAGCGGGGCGTGGGGAGGGATTGAGATTCAAAGAAGTATAAGGAAAACAGAGGGCTACTCGGCCCCCTCCCAGCGACCGCCAGCACCCCTGGCCTCCACAGTCCTTCCGCGCCAGTGCCTCCGCCAGCAGACTGGTTCCAGGGCTGAGTGCTCCGCCGCCTGTCATCCCAGGCCCGCGCGGAGCTGTGATTGGACGCGCCGCCGCCAGGCACCCGCCAGAAACACACACGCGCTGGAAAGAGGAAGGGGGCGTTCTTGCGAGTGGAGGGCTTTGGCTTTTTCTCGTCTCCCACCTCCTCTCGGCACTCCATGCCGGGTCTCTTGCTCCAGCTCGTCACGGCTCGCTCTCGTGGCGGGAGAGTTGGAGCAAACCTCGCCGCCGCCGCCTCCTGCCCGCCAGTGCCTATCCGCCTTCAGCGCCCTCCGCTTGAGCCATGGGGCCAACTCCAGGCTCCTAAGAGTTTTTGGCATCTTGGCTGCTCGTTCACCAGCCAAAGAACCCGCCGGCTGGCTATGGCTTAGGGCGCAAGAGGGGTCAGCCTAGAGGTTACGGAAAGGGGAAAGGGCGGCTAACTGAGTAAAAGAGAACCCCGAAGAAAAACCAAACGATGAGTTTCCACAAAGAGGACGGAGTAAGCAGCCTGTGCCAGAAGGCGCTGCACATCGTCACCGAGCTGTGCTTCGCAGGCCAGGTGGAGTGGGAGAAGTGCTCGGGCATCTTTCCCCCTGACAGGGGCAGCCAGAGCGGAGGCAGCACAGGTAACCGGGGCTCTCTGGTGTTCCCTCTGCTGGGACCCCGCGCGCTCGCTCTAAGCTCCCGGGTGCTGATACTCGTGCGCCGTGCCCGGGGCATCTTTAGGGCGCCGCGCCTTCCTACCTCTATCCTTCCTTTGACTCTGCCGCTGGCGACCTCGAGCGTGGGGTGTTCGGGTTGGGTTTCCACCTGTCTACCAGCCGGGCTTCTGCTCTGCTTCCTGCCTGCCGGCTTCTTTTGCTCCTGGCGCCTGCACCCGGTCTCTCTGCGCTCTCCCACGCCTCTGGTCTACCACCTGGAGTGAAAGAGGCTACGCGGGTGGAGACGCCGGGACCGCTTGCGGCACGACTGCTTGCGGGGGCGATTCGCCTGCGGGACTCTGGTTGCCCTAGCTTGTCCTGCGTGTCGCGGGTCACCGGCTCCGCGAAGGAGCCAGGCGCGAGAATCTATGCTTGAACGCAAAGAATCTCGTGCACAGGGTGCTGCCTTGACCTTCAGGAACAGAAAGAGTCCCCATCGGGTTAACTTTCGGCAGCAACCTGTGGAGTACTTACTTGAGAGCTTTCAAAACCCTCAGCGTGTATGATTTTTTCTAATGAAAAGGGAAAAGGCTATAAGTCTTTTCCACACATACTTTCACACCCGTCCCTGACACCCTAACATATAGCATCATTCCTATACCTTTGGGAAACTTGGGTGGTGGGATGGAGAACATCCACCATCAGAAATCTGGAGATGGAAAGAAGTTTCAGGTGACAGTTTTGTTTTTTTGTTTGTTTGTTTGTTTTTTTTTTTTTTTTTTTTGGTTTGTTTGTTTGTTTTCTCAAGGCTTAAGGGAAGGAGGCGAATCAGAGCCACCTTTAGTTACTCCTGGGGGAAAAGGTTTTGATTACCCGCGCAATAGCGGGGGAGGGCGACATGGGCAAATGACCCTCACTTGTTGCATTGGGAAACAAAACACCTGTGCTGAATTTTTCAGCATTTGACTAGATGGTTGCCTTTCCTTCTGCAGGATCTCATTTTTTTTTTCCCCTTTGCTTTCTCAGATCATTTTTGGTCTCTGGTGTGGGGTTTCATGGGTTAAGTGTAGCCAGGGCAACAGGTGAGAGCTGGATGGACAAGCTCTGCGCAGAGCAGGGCAGTAGAGAACCCAGCGTGAAAAGGACTGCACATGAGTGCTTCCCACACCACCCACCTCAAAGCAGTCCAAGACAAAGGAAGGGGAAAGATGGGAATTGATTTGGTTTGGATTTACATACTATGTTTTTGGTGGCATATCTGCAGGGGTTTTCGTATTCTCTCCTTATGGCAACAGGAGCCAAGAGGGGCTTCTGTCTTCGCGTTGGCAATACGTGAGAGACTGCTGCTTAGACCCTGGAACACAATGATACACAATTGCTGCTATCAACCTACTGGAAACTTAGATATTTGAGGAATATATAAACACAGCTGAGTCTTTTCTATTTGCTAAATTCTATTTTCTATTAAATTCCTGTAAGTGAATGAAATTCAATTAACACTGTAAGGGAATGAACATCATGCATCATGTATATTTGTGTCCTGTGTATGATCTTTAAGCGGGAGGTAAAGAAATAGTATAACCTTAGAGTCCACTGTGATGATATTGGGTCAAATCTTCTGAAATGTCTTTTAGTGATACATAGGATTAAGTTAAGACTCTGAGAATAGGGTACAGTGGAGGAAATGAGAGTATTTAAGTTTAAGGCCCCATGTTTTGGTCATTTAGTATTTGATAATCTAAATAAAACTACTGATTATTACCCTCTCCTACCCCTTTGTAATCACACACTAAATAGTGGTTTCCTGGGACTTCTTGGCTGGTAATGTGGTAAATGTGTGAAGGTTGAAAACCAAATACAGTACTGCCTTCTAAATCTTTCCACTCTATACAACTATATAAGTTTAAGGCAAAATACACTATATGAATTATAAAACGGTTTTCTGAGTTTTTTCCTAAGCAGTATAAGAAGGTGTGTAGTCCTAATTTCTTTTGGATTTTACCTTGGGAACAAAAAATGTAGAAAAATTAGTCTAAATTGTGTGAATATTTTTTCTCACCTTAAAGGAAAAACATAAGTAGGTTATTGAATTTAGTATGTGAACATATATATTAAGTGGCTGTTACTAGATATATTTTGCTAGGTGATATATGAAACAAAGGTAAACAAGATTGGGCTGCCTTTTCCATTTGCAAATTTATGCAACAGTTGTAAGTAAACTAATTTGCAAATAGACTTCCAATATGAATAGGTATCTATGAAGTAGATACAATGATATTTACTAAATGTTTAATAACATTCATTAGCTACACAGCTACAAAGTATTCTGTAATGTAGATTTTCTTATAATTAGTGCACTTGTGCCCTTTATTTTAAGTCCCTAAATAAAAGTACTTCCATAGTTGATCCTTCTGCTCACTGTTTAATGAGAAATCTTTGCTGGTAGGAGGACATCAATGGAATTTAATGGTGCAGTGATTATTTACTTTGAAAGTAATTAGAAACAGAAGGAAGGAGAGTCGGGTAATTCCAGTTAAAGTTATTATTTCCACTATTATTAAAGGAGTTAAGAATCATATATATTTATGAGCTATTTTCCTACTTTTTCTAAAATGCCAAAAAAAAGAGCAAGCATCACCATCTTTACCACAACATTGGCAAGAGAAGCAGCAGTAGTGTTATTGCCATTTAGGACCCCTTCCAACCAAGTTTATCAGTCTCATATTTTAATAAAATTTGTGACCAGTTAGATTATAGCTTTCAATATTAATTAATCTACTGTTTTAGAATAGTTGAGATAAAAACCATTAAATGGATCCACATTACTAGCATACCAGAACATTCATCATGTGCAATTTTTGGACAATTAGGTTTGGGGGGATTTTTTTAACCACTGATTCTCCCTCTCCCCCAAATAGATGTTACCCACTAAATTCATTTTATTGCACAATATGATAAATATTAGAATGCCTAGAAAAATACAAAACAATATGTTGTTCTCAATTTTTATTTTTCAGATAAACTAACTGAATATACATGATCATTTTTTAACTGGATTTAAGTTCATTTCAGGTCAGTTTTTACTGCAGAAGTGTCTATCAGATTCAATAAAACCACGTTGCTTGAAAGACAGGCCTCATAAAATAGCAGCTAATCAAACCCACTGAAGTTCACGTTCACACATAATAGTTGCATAGACCTACACTTAATACAAATATTTGAATAAGCACTTAATTCATCAGTGTTTCAATTTTGCATTTTTATACTATTTTAATTTGGGACTAAAGATCCTGAAGCAAAACTTTAGACAAATTCTTATAAGTTCATACATGTATTCTTTGTTTTCTTATAGGTGGGGATAATGAGAAGGTACATATCAATGAAATTTACTGAAGCACTTCATTATTAAAAAAATAAGAGAGATAACTAAGTACAGTTTTCAAAATTACACCATGATTTTTCTCTGAGACCATAATTAGGGCTTAAAATGAGTGGTGGGACTCAGTAGGTTTACTCAACAGACACAAAACAAAAAACTATTAAGTTATCATTTTTGGATCACAGTAACTCTAGGTTTTGCACATCCTCCTGACTGTCTTAAGAATTACAGTTTAGAAACATTTATCAGTGGAAAATTTCCCTTGAGACTTGTAGGTCTGGAAAGAAAAAAAAATGAAGCTCAATATACTCATGTGAAAAGGGATGCATGAAAACATCGGTTTTCCTTCCTCAACATCATCACTCCACTGGAAAATGGCCAATTTTTACTATTACTTGTCTCATTGTCACATGATTATTAATGCACATTGCTCTTGGTCTCAGTTTACTCCAAAAACAAATGGAAGACTATCTTCAAAGGCCCAGCAGGTTATAGCAAACAACCATTTTCCCTTAATTCTGGGATATCTGGCAATATTGAAGGGATTTTTCTTTTTGCATTTTATTCTTGTAATAAACTAAGATATGTATTTCTTCTTTTGCTGAGTTAGGCATCTCTGAAATCTAATTGTTATGCTAGCGATTTTATATAGTTGTCCATTTCTTTTAAATCACATTTTCTTTATATCTTAATCTTCAATGTAATTTTGCTTTTATGAAAAAAAAAGTTGATCATTTTTGGGAGTACATCTACATTCGTTTATAAGGTTTTTTTTACAAAATTTTGGAAGAAGACAAACAGTACCATAAATTTTAATGGAATTTCTAATGCTAATTAAAATTATCTCTATTTTTGAAAGTTTAGATTCTTCCTGATCTAAATTTATTCTACTAATGATATGCACTTTTAAGTAACTAGAATGTAAGTTTTTTTTTTTTTTTTTTGAGGGCAAGGGTTTGCTTATTCTTTAATCTGTAGTGATCTATGGTACATCCTAGAAGTTCAATAAATATTTGTTGAATGAATAAAATAAAATCCTATTTGTAAACGAATAAGTTCTATTTAATAATTTTCAATTACCCTGTGAAATTAAGTTAGGTATACCTGTATCTTTGTGTCTCCAGTGTCTAATACAATATCATATAGATAAGTCTACAAAATATTTTGTCCATGATAATGGCAGGAAACAGAGCACTTGACCCAGTTAAAAATTAGAATGTAATGAGAAACATACTCATGAAAAAGCAAATGAAAACAAAATGGATGTCCATTTATTTCTCCAGAGTGTGTTCAGTTACAACTGTGAGTCCATAGCTAAACTTGTAAGTGCACAATAAATCAACTCAGTTTACTGAAGTTCTAGGAAAGTGGGAATATCTGTTTAATCTAGATGCTCCTTGACTTATAATGGGGTTATGTCCTGATGAACCCATCATAAATTGAAAATGTAAGTCTAATATATATTTAGTACCTAACCCACTGAACATTACAGCTTACTGTACCTATCTTAAATATGCTCAGATCATGTACTTCAGCTTATAGCTGGGCATCACAAGAGAGTATTGCAGCACATATTGCTAGCATGGGAAAAGATCAGAATCCAAATTCTAAGTATGGTTTCTACCGTATTTGCACCACAGGAGAGTCATAACTCAGGGCCATCTGTATGTATGTATGTATGGATGGATGGATGTATACATATGCATTTACAACAGTAAAAGAAGGCATGTAAGTTTGCTTAAGAAGAAAATATCATGGAAAAAATAACCATGTCATTATTTGAATTGCTGTTAGTCATTCCAGTTAGAATTGGGAATCATCATTTTGTCAGTAAGAAAACCAAGGCAAGAAAAATTTAAAACTTCCCCCCAAATCACAAAACTGGTTAGTAATGAAGTAAGGATTAGAACTCAGGGATTCTTAGAGGCCAGCCTAAGTTACAGAAAGAGAAGAAAAAGAAAGAGGAGATCTTGAGGGCATTTCTTGCTGCTAAGGGGCACTGGAACAAATTTTTGCAAGGATAGTTCTCTCAACTATTATTATGCCGTTGTCTACAATTAATGACATACTAGAAGGTGTCCATAAAAATCTCTCAATTTGCCATTATTACTCAAATCCTAACCCTTTGTCTTTACTACATTTGCTATCATCCAAATCTGACACACAACATTATTTATTATTTTACTTGAGTATGTGCATATATATTCATTTAAATCCACATGAATATTTGTTTACTCATATTCTTGGCAAATAGAATTTATTTGTACTAACAATAAATTATGAAAAAGATTTTAGTGTGTTTGAGATGTACAACTTTAAATTCATAATTTCAAATGTAATTCTTTTTTATGTGTTCATACAAAAGCCTATAATGAAAACAAATATTAAAACAAATAGTTAAATTGTTTTTGTTAATTTGTTATTAGGAAAAAGTTCATCAAAGTCTCATTTGTAATATGTTCCTGCCATAGTTTGTCCAAGGTAAGTAACTAACAGTTCATATCATAATTAAAATTCATTACTGTGAGGCACTGGAAACAACATGACAGTGGAAAAAGAGCTGAAAGTCATCTTATTCAAAATCCCAAGGCATAATTAGTATGAACATATCAAAGAAACTGGACCTCCTGTTAGTGTTATTGTTAAAGGTCAATAAATCATATTATCTCATTTTTTACTTGTACAATGCCAATTTCCATTTTTTGAATAACCAACACTGATCAAGTTTAGAAACATAATCCTGACTAAAGAGATGGCTTCTTGTTATTGTCTAATAAGGTAGATTTATTTTCTTCATAATATCACATATATCCTAAGTACCTTTTAAATGTAAGAGATGCCATTAATATGACTCAGATTAACAGGAAAATATATATTAATATATGTTACATAAAACATAACACACATATATGTAACACACACACACACACACATACACACAGAAATCCCCGTATGTCCTTGGGTTCCATATTAGTAGATTCAACCAAGTATGGATGGAAAATATTTTGGGAAAAAATACATCCATAATGAACATGTGCAGACTTTTCTTCTTGTTATTATTCCCTAAACAATACAACTTTTAATTTGGATTATGCATTATAAGTAATACAGAGATTATTTAAAGTATTTGGGAAGATATGAATTGCATATGTAGAAATACTGTTTTACATTCACCTGAGGGATTTAAGCAGCTATGGATTTGGGAATTTTGGGGGGGGTCCTAAAACCAACCCCAAATGGATACTAAGAATCTACTGTGTGTGTGTGTGAGAGAGAGAGAGAGAGAGAAGAAGAAGAAGAAAGAAATTGAATTGTGCTGTGCTGGCCTTGGAGCCAGAAGGGTGGATCATCTGGGGGTAGGGGGTAAAAAGGAGCTAATATTGGTAACTTTTTCCCCTTCAGGTAGATTTTGAAATGTTTTACAGCCTATTGTCTAATCTATTATTTTATTATTATTTTATTGTTGAATAGGGAACCTCACTGTCAACTTTGAAGTTTGTGAATGTCAGTTTGTTCATACTAAAAAATTATGTTCATCAAACAAAAGCTATTGATTTCTCTCAATCTTCATGATTCCCTTACTTCTGTTTAAGTACTTATGGAATCATAGGAATAATGAACAAAATAATCAGAAGCTTATTATGTTCCTGATTTTATTTATGTATCTAATTCATTTCTAATGTTACAGTAGGAGTTATTAATATATCTAAAAATGCAGTCTTCACCATATGATTTTATTCAACAAATATTTTTAAGCATTTTCTATGTAAAAGCAACTGTGCCAGGCATTGAACTGTACTGATGCTACTAATTAAGTGTATGATAATCCATATGATTCTTTTAGTTCATGTAAATGTGTAATATATAATCACAGATTACAAATTATTTACACAATTATGAGAATATGTAAAGATTTTAAAATAAATTTGAATACCATACTGGTAGCCATATTTGATTGAATCTAACAGGCCATTCATTGATTATAACAGTATTTGGTGTAACACCATTATTTTATGTAGCACCAAGAAAGTAAAGAGAATGTTGACAATTAAATTATGACACATAATTTAAAGCATCCTATTATATCTTGGTAAGATTAGGAGTTAATGAAATTTATCCTATAGGATAAATTTCTTATCCTATAGGATTTTCATTTTATACTAATGGAAAGATCTCTTTAAATCTTAGAGATTTTTAAAATCATATATTACATATGCAAAACCATAAAAAGGAAAACATGAAATAAGTAGATTAAAATAATTTAAAAACTAAAATTCTGAATATGATTCTTCTGAGTGGATTTTTGATCCAGAATTGATAGTGCCTTTGTTTTTTCATAGTGAGGAGCAACCAGTGCTCAGGCCACAGTGAAGAGCAACCAGTGAAACAAAAACACATGAAAAATATCATCAACTAAGTTATCATTTTTATATGGGAAATAAGACTTTTATGCAACTTAAAACATTAAAGATAACTAAAAATTTAAAATTAAAAAAAATAACAATTCAGAAAGACACACAAATAAGTGTACTAATTGAGGCAGTGGTAACTGGAATCAAGAACATGAAAACTGTTCTGTGTTTTTCTCCATGATCATGACCAGGCCCATGGTGACAGCAGTTGGACCTAACAGTGTTCATGAGTCAAGTCACAGTGGGTGAGATGACACACATGGGATGGCCTGGTTATATAGACGTTGACAAAGTTCTGCTTTTCTAAATGTTTCAGAGGAATTCGCATTTGGAGCATTTACTGTGTTTTCTAATAAGAATAATCTTTTGTCAATTTTTCAGAACTCTGTCGATTCATTTTGCTATATTAAGACTCGATAAAAGGATAAAATGTTTATAGTTAAGGTAGAGATGTATATTCAGACAAAGAGTCAGATAAGGAGATAAGTAAATACATAGTGGTAGAGAAATGTTTATGCAAATGTATGTAATCAAACTAGAGTTTGAGTAATTTTAAACCTCATTATCTCAGAGCCTAACTTAATCTGTGTAAATTGCATTACCTCCTAATCTTACCAAGATATAATAGGATGCATATCATATAATGGATTCTTTTTAATTATCTGGAGACATTGAAAATTTAAGCTAGAGAGAGAGAGAGCTCAGTCATCAAGTTTACTCATTGTCATGTGTAATTTAGGAGTTCATGTGGCACAAACAAGCCATTCATATTCATCACCGGGGCCTCCCAGCAGTTGGCCCCTTGCCTCCAGTATTCTCTTCTCTGCCTTACCACTTCCCCTTTATAATGATGCTCAAACACGTGTCACTATGGCAAACAATGTTATATTAGAATTACCAATTCAAGTATTTCAGTCCCCCCACACACACACACACACAAAGCTCCTATGTGTTCCTCTTTCTCAGCAGGAATGCCAGTTCATGAGCCTTTTCTCCTTCCTACTTCACCTCCTGCTTGCCTGTGAGTCCCCATCAATGAGTACATCATCATACCTGGGATGCCTCATTTCATCATCGAAGTCACTTTCACTTGGGGTTTATTACATTCTCCTGAAAAACAAACCAGAAACCTCACTCATGGATAAATACAACTGTTTCTTTTTTCCTACCTGAAAGCAACTGAATAGGAGATTTTAAAACCAGGCAGATGCATATCACTCTCTTTTGTTAAAAAGAAAATACTTATTTTTGGTTGTAGATGGACACAATACTTTTCCATTTATTTATTTATTTATTTATTTATTTTTATGTGGTGCTGAGAATTAAACCCAGTGCCTCACACATGCCAGGTACGTACTCTGCCACTGAGCCACAATCCCAGCCCTCATATTACTCTTATTAGCTTCCAATTTCAACACTATGCTGACTGGGCATCTTACTTTTTCCTATTCAGTTTTTTCCTGTTCTTTGTAGATCCTGTTTCAAAATTTTCTTACCCTCTAAATACTGCAAATGTTATGGTTTGGGATCAGAAATGTCCCCCAAAGGCTGACATGTGGAAGTCTTTGTTCTCAGTGCAGTAATGCCCAAAGGTGGGGCTTTGTGGAAGTAATTAGTTCATGAAGACTCTGACCTGTGGATTAATCCACTGATAGCTGAAAGGACTACTGGGAACTGTATGGACTGCAGGCAAGGCTGGAGGCAGTAGGTCCCAGAGGGCTTGACTTTGGGGACTATATCTTGCCCCAACCCTTCCTTGCTGCCATGAGATAAGCAACTTTCCACCACCCACCCTCCCCACCATGTTCTGTGTTGCCACAGGTCCAAAACAAAGGGGTTGCTGGACACAGGATTGAAACTTCTAAAACTATGAGCCAAAAATAAACCTTTCCTCCTCCATATTGTCTATCCCAGGTATTTTGGTCACAGTGACAAAAAGCTCATTGACACACCAAATTATCCCCAAATGTAGCAAAATAATTGTCAGTTGACTCTCTAACTCCCTCTTTGGATAGAAAAATAATAGTTATAAATAAAAATTTCCTTGACTTCTTGCCCTGAGGCAAAACTGATCAGCATCCAGAATGGACACCTTTTCTTACAAAGGAAAATGTGATCCCATTCTTTCACCCTTGCTTCAGACTCCATCCCTTGTCAACTTTTGTGGGACTTCACTTTTAATTACTCCACTCAACTTCTTTTCTATTGATTCCTTTTCACTGGTTTTAAGCATGCTGAAACATCCTACCTAATAAAAATGTTCAACTCTTGTGTGCTACTCCAGTTTTTGCCCCCTTTCTACTCCTCTTGTAAGTACAATTTCTTAAAGAAATTACTTGTGCTCACAGACTGCCATTCTTTTCTTAAACCACGTTCGTGGGGTTAGCATAGCCTCTTCTCTATTGGTCTCATCAAATTTGCTAAAGATGTACTTATTAATGGTAATTTGTCAATCCTTATTTCAAATGAGCTGATTTTGACATTTTGCACTGTTGACCACTCCTTAAAATATTCTTGTTCTAGCTGCTACAAAAACTGCTGACTTGATTTTTATTTCATATCTTTTTTTGCTGTTTTTTTTTAATTTATATATGACAGCCAAATGCATTACAATTCTTTTTTTTTATTGGTTGTTCAAAACATTATAAAGCTCTTGACATATTCCATACATTAGATTCAAGTTGGTTATGAACTCCCAATTTTACCCCAAATACAGATTGCAGAATCACATCAGTTACACATCCACATTTTTACATAATGCCCTATTAGTAACTGTTGTATTCTGCTACCTTTCCTATCCTCTACCATCCCCCCTCCCTCCCCTCCCATCTTCTCTCTCTACCCCATCCACTGTAATTCATTTCTCTCCTTGTCTATTTTCCCATTCCCCTCACAACCTCTTATATGTAATTTTGTATAACAATGAGGGTCTCCCTCCATTACCATGCAATTTCCCTTTTTTCTCCCTTTCCATCCCACCTCATGTGCATTACAAATATAGAGCACAATTTTTCATATCTCTAGTTGGATACAAAGTATATTCACACCAATTTGTGTCTTTATACATGTACTTTGGATAATAATGATCATCACATTCCACCATCATTTATAACCCCATGCCTTCTCCCTTCCCCTCCCAACCCCTTGTGCTATCTAGAGTTCCTCTATTCCTCCCAGGCTCCCTCTCCCTATCCTCTTTTCCAGTCTTTTATTCAGGATTCTTGTTCCTTAAAGTTCTCTTTCTTTAAATATTGGTGGACTCATGATTCTACTGAGGAACTTTTCTCTTCCATGGATTCAGATCCCACTATTTAAGGAAGTCTTTCAGTCTTGTCTGCATGACCAAGAGCCTACGCAAATTTCTATTTGCATGATCACAACTGCTTCAGCCAAAACCAAAATCGTGGTCTTCCTTTCTTCACCATCCTGCCTGTCTCCCAGTGAGTCATATTCCTGCCCTTTTTTTTTCTTCACACTTCTTCACTAGAACTTTTTCCTTCACATTCCTTCACTGGAATGTTGATTTCCAAATTTTCTCCTGAATCTTCTCTTTTTCCTGATTCAGTAACTCTCCCTGGAACCAGAGCACTCTTCACTGAGTCAATCAGTGTTTCTTCTTCCAGACTTGTCTCCTTTTCTGTCTTCTCTTTGGCCAGACTTCTATTTCTGAAGTGCATATCTGATCATTTCAACACCTGACTTAACATGTTTCTGGGGCTACTTCATCGTAAGTTCAAATTCATGATACAGCACCCTTTAGATCATGGTTAAATGATGAATCATAGTCATAAAAATGTCATTTAAAAATTTTGATGACTTTATAAATTCTCCTAAATCCTCAGTCTTTTGATTTTTTTTTCACTTTGTGGAATGTAGCTTGTTGGAAAAAAATTAACTCATAAAGATCTGAGCATTAAACACTTGGTTTCATTTTCAATGCTTGAGTAATATACAGTGCCCAAAATTTTACATACCTTTCCTTATTGAAACATCACAACATTCGTATGAAAAAAATACAACTACCCTTATTTTACACCAAGGTTCTGAAGACCTAAACAACTTGCTCAAAGTCACACAGGGTTGCAGATGACATTTGAACTCAGGTCTAAATGCCTACACAGTATAAGATAGAAGAGTTCTGTACCTTCCCTCCAAATCACCCAACTTTCAGTTAGTCCAAACACCTAGAAATCTACACAGCTATGTGCCTTTTCAAATAACTCCCAAAATATGAGTTCAGTAGATCCACCAACATCTTTGGACCATGTGATATATACTAGACACTAAACATAAAGAGGTGAATAAATTTGATTTCTGTTCTGAAGGATCAACGAACAAGTGTACTGATAGGGTGGCAATGTTTAGAGACATTGTTAAGTTTTGGGTTTTATAGTTGTGGATAAGAGAATTATAAAATTCAGATGAATTTTATAATTCTCTTATCCACAACTATAAAACCCAAAACTTCTGAAAACTGAAAATTATTTTGTAAATTGTAAATAATCTGGCACCTATAACTTACCTGAATCAGCATTGTTAGTTAGGACAATATGTTTTTATGGCCTTCAGTGTTTTTCCTAGATAATTTGTGCCATATTATATACATCATACCCAAAAGAAAACAATAATATTTTTAAAATGCATCATGCTCCAAGAGTGGGGTAAGAGGATTATAGGACAATCCATGAACCCAATACTAGGGGTAGAGTGGTTAGTATGGCTTCAAAGTCCATTAAAAAATAGAAGAGAAAGGCAGGGCTACAAGGAATAAGTACTATTAGGTCTTATTGCTGAAGCATAAATAAGAATTTGTCAGGTGGCCAAGTAAGATAAAGAATGCACAGAAGTAAATGAAATAGCACCACCACCACCCCCCCCCAAAAAAAATCGTAAGAAAGTAATAATGTGGTCAGATAAGGAATATAGATAGGGAAGTGGCAGAAGAGGAATGTAGATAGGGAAGTGGCAGAAGAATGAAGTTAGATGGGTAGCCAGGGGTCAAATCTCCAAGATCTAATGGGATGTCTTAGGAAGTTTAGATTTGGCCCAGATGGCTCAGGCAAGACCTGGAAGGATTTTAGGCTGAGAGAGGCAAGGTGACTCTACATTCCAAATGCCAGGACAGGAACTTGTTTTTTTTCCACTATCCTGGCTTTATTGATAGCACAACAATTCACTCAAAAGTATCCTGATTTTGGAGAAAGATTACATGATCTTCCAAATGATAGAACCAGATGTCAATTTTAGAAAAAAAAAAAAAATCAGCAGTAGGGAAAATGGAAGTAGGTTCAGAAGATTTCCACAGAGCTCTCCTGAATGACAAAGTATGAATACCAAATCCATCTCTTGGGAACAATGACATATAGGGATTTTATAAAACACTTGTGGGAAGAGTATATAAGTTTCTCTCAAGCCTGATCCCATGAGAAAAAAAAAAATGAACCCATTTTCAGTTAGAGGCCTGAAACTGCTCACACCCCCACCCCCATCCCATGCGGTCCTGGAATCTTCCTACATCTTGGTTTTGGCTCCAGCTGCACAGGAAAAAAACCTGTTCAAGAAGGTTTTCTTAAAGTAAAATATACAGAAAAGTATAAGTAAATAAAGCTGAAAATACATGAAGACTTATGAAGCTTAGACTCTTTAGTGTTGATATAACAGAAAACCACAGATCAAGAATTTATAAAGAAAACAAATCTATTTCCCTTAGTTCATAAGGCAGGGAAATCCAGTATCAGGTATGGCCTTTCATGTTGTGGTAATCCCATAGCAGAAGGTGACAGGGCAAGAGGGCACAAGAGAACCAGAGACCAAGAGGGGGCTAAGCTCACTTGTGTAACAAGCCACTCTCTTGATAACTAACCCACTATTAGGATAACAACATAATCCACTCAGGAAGGCAGAGCTTTCAGTAAATGAATCACCCCTTTATTAGGTGCTGCTGCATTGGGAATGACAAATCTGACACATGAACATGAGGGGACACTTTTAAACCAGAGCAGAAGACATAATTTTATTTTTTTTATCCATTTTTAAACCATAGGTACTAATCAGGAACTAAAACTAATCTCTTTTCCTCAAATTATACTGACAAGTAATAAAAAAAAAACTATAAAATACGAAATGTGGTCCTACCCTTCTCATTAATGTAATATAAAGGAGAAATGCCAATAGTTCTTTTGTAAGCAACTAGAAAATGAAGAAAAATATTAATATTTGTGTATCACAGCATGTGAAAATTCTTATTCATATAATTAAGTAGCAATAAAAATTTGGAAATGTTTCAATTTCTGAATGGATTTCCATTAGCTACAAATTTTATTTTACCAATTAAGAAAATGGATATTAAAACAAGGTATCATCTCCTCATGGGTTAGTAAACATTAACATACAACAATATTCCTGTTAAATTGTGGGATCTGGTAAACTTTTCTGTTGTCTTTGTGACAGCAACTGTTGTACTCGTTTTGAAAATAGCTATACAAAAATTATATAATGCACAACAAATGACCCACCAATTCTGTTTCAAAATATTTACTTCAGAAGGACATTCACAAATATATGCACAAGAAGAAAGGGAGACACAAGGATGCTCACTGTAGCTATGCTGCAGTATGAAACATTGGAACATAAATATCCATCATGACTAATTGTTACGGAATGTTATATATCAGATGAAGTTTGACCTCAAATATTGGTGAATAAAAAGTAAAGCAAATTAAAGAATAAACACATAGTAAGCTATTTATGTTTTAAAAAGAAGAACATTATATAATTGTATATACTTATTATTTTATAAGAGAGATTTTGTTTGTTATTATTGGGGCTGGACAGGCACACTTACTTGGTATCAGTAGTAACCTCTAGGGAGGGATGGAATCTCTTAGACTTAGTCATGTTTAAAGGAAATTAGAAGCTATTCTGTATTTAGTTTACTAGCTGCCATACCAAAATACTCCAAACTGGAGATAGTGAAAACTTACTCCCTCCTTGTACTTGAGGATAGAAGGGGATGGTAAAGCTGAACTCCACTAAGGCCCTTCCTTGGCTTGTAGATGACCGTCATTCTCCCTGTGTCTTCAGATAGTTTTCCCTCCATGTGTTATCCTTAACCTCCTCCTCTTATAGAACACAGCAGTTTCATTGAATTAGAGCCAACTCCTATGACCTCATTTTACCTTTATTACTAATCAAAGGGCCCTATCTCCAAATACAGTTGTATTCTGAGTTACCAAGGGTTAGGACTTCAAGATACAAACTTAGAGAGGAGTTATTACTTCTCTATCTTACTATAACTCCCTAAAGCCCTAGTATATTCCTTTGGTTGTCATGTCAATAGCAGTTAATTTTATTGTCAAGAATGCATGCTTTACTCTCTAAGCTGAGTATGTCTGTATAATCTTTTTTTTTTAAGCTTGTACTCAGACCTCATTTTTCTACTCCCAATACTTATTTATATTTTTCCAGCACTAGCTTTAACTTCAAGCTAAATATCATTAATTGCTGTGCCTTAAACCCTGAGGTTACTTGTCACCCTCAAGTTAAAACTTGTGCTCCTTCTGTCTAGAATAAAGAATTTCTAGTGCTTATAAAAAAAAAAAAACAAATTTAGAGAGGAGACAGACACTATTCAGCCCATAATATATTCCTAACATTTTAATTTAAAATAAACAAAAGAGATTGGATTTATATTTGATGTTGAGTCCAAACAAAGTTGTGAAGAAAGGTTACTCAAATCTAACAACATCAAAAAAATCCTTCATAGGAAATCTATTTGATTTTCAAAGTTATAAGAATACTAAATAATCAGATTGCTAACATTGGTTGCCGGGTTTCTGTTCTCGTGACTAAAAGGCTCAGGAGTCACTCCAGGTAAACTGGGGTAACTGGGCTATGCAAAATAATCAAACAAGAGACACAAATACCTTTTTCTTTGGGGTCGCTGTGAGGGCTCCTCTGACCTTAAGGGTCTGCAGGAAGAGAGAGAGCGACAGTATACATGCTGACCCCTTTTATTGAGGAGAAGCTATTCAAATGAGGCAAGGAGTCAGGTTTCAGGGGGCTGAGTCTATCTTCATGATTTCCACTATCAGCAGGTTGACTGACATCTGGGTAGGCCACACCCAAGGGCACAGTAAGAGAAGGGGACATACACAAGGCACTTCCATGGAAGATTCTATCCTTAACAGGGCAAGGGGTATATTACAAAGGAACAGGTGAGCATAGCTTCACCCAAGGGGCTGAAGCAAGACACACCCGTGCACAAGACACGACCCTCAAACCCAAGAAGGGTGGGGAAATCTCTGCCACATTTCTGTGACTGAGCGCCTCAGCACTCAGCCGGGGAGTGTGACTCAGTCACGTGTAAGGTTGGTCTCCCACAATTGGTTATCTTAGGAAGGTGAAAAACTTGGGAGCAAAGTTATCAGAAAGGATTTGTGAAGTTGAAAATACAACTAATAATATAACCCATTCATAATTATTAATGTAAATGTCTACACTAATATTTAAGATCATTTTCTGCACAAAGAATGAGAGGGTTCATCTTGAAATCAAAGATGAAGCAAATAGAAGCATTTCCTGTTGTTGCACCTTTAGAGTTTAATGTTGCAGTTACATAGTTGGTTGTAAATTGTCAATCATTTTTTTTTACAACTCTTGAATCCCTTATATTTTTTAAATGATATATATATATATATGTTATGCTTTTCCTTATATAACCGGGATGAAACTTTTCAAATATCTATAATAATCTCACCATGTCTGCCTCTTTATGTACAAGATTCATTAGTATTTCTTTATGTTGTCATTTTTTTCCAGATATTTCAGTCAGCCTGTTAGCAGTTGTCGTCAGCTTCTGTGGCCTGGCCTTGCTAGTTGTCTCACTTTTTGTCTTCTGGAAGTTGTGCTGGCCATGCTGGAAAAGCAAACCTGTGACCCCCAATGTCAGTACCCTTCCACAGAGCATTTCAAATGCTCCTACTGAAGTTTTTGAGACAGAAGAGAAAAAAGAGGTTAAAGAAAATGGAAAGCCAGCACTAAAAGCTATTGAGCCTGCAATAAAAATCAGCCACACTTCCCCTGATATCCCAGCAGAAGTCCAAACTGCTTTAAAAGAACATTTAATTAAACATGCACGTGTGCAAAGACAAACTACTGAGCCTACGTCTTCATCCCGGTAAGGAAAGATTAAATGTGTAAAACTCTGTGTGTGTGTGTGTGAGAGACAGATTTCAGAAGAGTAAAAAATCTTAAGTGGGAAAGTACAAGTAAAAAGAGGAACAGGAAGGATGGGAAAAGCATAGGAAACACATAATTCCATAAAGAGGGAAAGGTAGGACAGTGTAAGTAGGAGCAGGTGAAACTGAAGGCAGAGAAGGAGAAAAGGGGCAGTCACATGAAAGAACTTGGTATAATTTGAGGTATTAGTAAAATCATGTCACACAGATTATTATTTGGCTCTTTCCTTTGAAATATCACTGGTTGATAGCTGCTACTGTAGTCTTTCAATTTATTTTATTAATACATATAAAAGTAACCATTTGAAATATATATCATGTAAGAAAAACAAAAAAAAGGTCAGGAAATATTTAACAGTTCATAATCACAACTAAGAGACTAATGTTTAGGTTACAACTATCTAGCACCTACATCATGAACACAAATTTGTGGAAAGTGTCATTGTTTATTTGAGCTCAGGTAGACCAAACTTACACTGGACAGTTCCACAGGAGCCTAATATTGGAGCACACAGAGTGGAGGGTTGCCCACCCAGGAGCCAATTTGCCGTCACAAGATGCACTTCACCTCATCCTGGGAGGATCAGCCAGTTTGTTTGAATTTCTTTTAAAAACTGCCACCGCATATTCAAATTGTATTAACTGAAAAAAAGAGATTCTGGCAAAGAGGTGTGTTGGTTTTTTTTTCCTGCTAAATATAGTCATCAATTCTTAAAACAAATGACATCATGATAGTAACATTTTCTCTGGTTCCTAGAAGTAGCAACTAGTTTTACCCAGGGGTAAATTCAATGGTACTGGGAGGTTACTAATGTTTTCTGCTAACCAAATTACTTCCTAATCTTACCTCCTACCCCTGTAAATGTAGGGTGCATGTGTGCTTTCTGACGTGACATGTTTTCACAGGTTGAGAAATCTATCAAAGTGAAAACTGGGTAATATTTGCTACTGGGATTGGTAGACTATTCAATATATCTCTTGTTTGCATAAAAGAGGATTGTATTTATAAATAAATACACTCCATTCTGCAATATTTTCTAGAGGAATCAGGATAATTGTTACCACTGAAGTGAGGATATTTGGGATAGGAAGTTGGATGGATGGAGGTGCCTTTTCCATATCACGCTTTTCTGTACTACGGAAATCTTATAATCAAGGCATGCCTCGTATGAATTGTTATTTTGACTTGTTTTCTGGACAGTGGCCTTTAGTTTGATTTTAATGTTTCTTTTTATGAGTTTTATATAATGTAATCCAGTAAATACTAACTTTAATATATATTTACCTATAAAATAATTATCCAATATACTCTTTCCTACATATTCTATAAATGAAAATAAAATGCCTTGGAGTAAATCTCATTTTTCTAAAACATTGGAGATATATATATGTAAAAATATTTTATATATGTATATGAAAATATTATATATAGATTTATAGAGAGATTTTAACTGCTTTAAAATGACCTCATATGGCTCCTCACTATCATTATTACTATCCTTTTGAAAACTGTGAACAAATATGATATTTAATATCCAAAAAGTCTTAAGATACAAAAATTTTAGGATAAAAATGTTGAATTAAACAACAAAACATTTTTTAAATAACATAGTTCCCACTTACTCACAGGGGAGGTGTTTCAGGGGATACCTGAAAGTATTAAGCTCTATAAAAATATGTATTTTCCTATGCATACATATCTATGATAAAATTTAATTCATAAATGAGGTACAGTAAGAAATTAACAGCAACTGATAATAAAATAAGATAATGATAGCATCATACTATAATTTAAACTATATGAATATGGTCTCTCTTAAAATATCTAGTTGTACTGTATTCACACTTTTTATCACATCACATAGGCATTGAAATAGCAATGCCTATGTGATGTGATAAATAAGGTGAAAAATGTAGGCATTGTGAGGTAATGTTAGGTAACTATAAGGGTTACTTGAGACTGTGGATTTGATAACCAAATTGACTACTAAGTGATTAAGAGGCAGGTAGTATATATAACATGGATACTCTGGACAAGGAAATAATTTACATCCTAATGGAAAAGAATAGTGCAAGATTTTACCACACTACTCAGAATGATGCACAAATTAGAACTCATGAATAGTTTATTTCTGGAATTTTCCTTTCAATATTTTCAGACCTCAGTTTATCACTATGTGAAACCAAGGATAAAGGTGGGAGATTATTCTATGGACAGCTACTTTGAAATATGTATCAGTTTAGCTTTTAGAATTAGTCAATGCTTAGTTGGTAAGTACACTTCATATAAGAAAACTTTAAGTCAAATTGAGGTAATCAGTGGTTTTTAGAAGCTTTAGAAAAACAAAATTCTACCAAAAAATATTATCTGTTGATTAAAAATAGACCATTTATCTGATTACCCTTAGCTAGAGAAGAATGAAAACATATGTGTGAAGATTGGGGTTTGGATGAAGAATTGGCTTCTGGAAATAATATGCACTAGCAACAAAGATACATCTGTTTAGTCCAGATTTCTTAGTAATTATGTGAAATTGAAAACATCAGAAAAAACTTTTTATCTCAATTAAAAAAGCAAAGTTATATTGCACATTTGGTATTCTTTAAGAGGAAAAACACAATACAAATTCATAGTTTTCTTAGAACTTTGATACTTCATCTGCTCTTTGAGTTCCCTTGTTTATTTGGGTGGCTGGGAAAGGAAGAAGAAAAGCATTTTTGAGCACTTCAACTTAGTCACTGTGCCAGTGTATCCTTCCTTCTAATCCTTCTGTATGATTTAAGGATTATTAATTATCCTCATTAGTTGTGAGTTAACTGGAGTCCAGAGAGATTTAAAAATTTGCCTGAAGACACACAGCTACAAGAGTAAGAATGCAATTTTAATCAGATTGACAGAATACAGTTTAAGTTTTAAAGTCCATGAGAGGTAGTTTTTCTGTAACTGAGGATGTTGGTTACAAAATTTGCTGAGGACAAGCAGTTAGTCCTCAAAGAAGAAGAGCCTCTTCCTGCTCATTCTACTCAATTAGAAATTGGGGATTGTATATGGTTATTGTGAATGACCACAGTTATGATTTTAAATCTGTTTGGCCTTGGAATGAATTCCTTGTATAAAACTTGATTATTCCTACTTCTCAAAAAAACCTCATCTACACTAATTACTTCATCATCCTAGAAATTACCTTTATATAGAGAGGAAGAGGAAATTGCAGAGTTCATTATGCAGTCCACTTGGACACAGAGATGGACAGTATGTTATCACAAATCAGATTATTCAGTTCAAATGCCAACTTTTCCCTGAGATGTGACAAAATCAAACCTACTTGCAAAAATACATGTGCACACACAAACCAAATTTAACTTCAAGACTTGGTTTCCTTGCCTTGTTATCCCTGGCTCTGCTCAGCTGTTGGGACTCCCTTTCATTTGGCTAAGACAGCAGATGACAACATCCCATTCTTCTGAATTTCTTTTGTCTCTATACTGAAATAAAACTCTGATAGGTTTAAGTTTAGTGACATCACTTGAAACTGTCACAGTTCCCAATTTTTCATCTCCTTTTCAAATGCCTGTAATCCAACGTACCACCACCCATCAGGCAACCAAATGACCCAGTCAGTATGTGTGTATTTCTTTTTTTACATTAGACATGCTTCTAATGTCCATCTTGATTGATTGTTCATTCATCTAATAACTTTATTCAACTAATATGTTTACTTATGGATAGAGTTATTGTATTCTGAACACTCTACTCTGAAAACTCTAGATGCCATAATTTTCTATACAGTATGGAGCTAAGACATGGGATACCAACTTCAGTATAAGGAATTATAAGTGACAACTATGTGATGGAGCATGTGCGATTCAGAGGCTAGAGAAATTATTTCCAGCTGAGTCATGGAGAAACTCCATTACACTGAGGATAGAGAAACATAGGAATTCACATTCTGTACATGACAATGCAAGAGGAGGGGCATCCCAGATAGAAACATTTTTATGTGAAAATTCATAGAACAGGTAGTCTTGTTAAGAAAACCAAGTAAGCTACCTGGATTAGAAAAGAGATAAGGAGAGAAATAATGAAAGATACAGTCAGCTGGAATTAAATTATAAGGAGTTCTTGAAACCATGGCTAAGATGTTCCAACGCTATCCTGTCAAAAATATTTTCACTACAAGAGTCTCTTGGGTATGAGATATGTTTCACAATAATTACTTTGGCAACAGTTTATAGAACACACTATAAGGGAAGGCATCTATGTATTTTAAAACTAATATAGTGTGTAGTTCAGGCATAATTAAAATCAGGAAATATCAAACATCAACAAAAATAAATCTAAGAAAATTTATAAAGGAAGAGTCTAAGGTCCCTTATTTTTTTTTCAAAATCTAGAAAATTTTATCTTAGCAGACAATACTGATACAAAAGGAAATGAAAGTAGAATTCTCTGCAGAATAAAAAAGACTTATTGATTATGTCTTCATTTCTTTTGATTCTTTTACCTGCTTTTTGTTTTGTTTATTTTCATACATGTACTTAGGGTAATGATGTCCTTCTCATTCCACTGTCTTTCCTATCTCCATACCCCTCAACCCTCCTTCCCCTTTGCCCCACTTAAAGTTAATCTATTCCTCCTATGCTGCCCACCCCATCTCCATTATGAATCAGCATCCTTATATCAGAGAGGACATTTGGCATTTGTTTTTTGGGGGGGATTGGCTTACTTTACTTAGCATTATATCCTCCAACTCCATCCATTTACCTACAAATGCCATGATTTTATTCTCTTTTAATGCTCAGTAATATTCCATTGTGTATGTATACTGCATTTTCTTTATCCATTCATCTACTGAAGGGAATTCTAGGTTGGATCCACAATTTAGCTATTGTGAATTGTGCTGCTATAACCATTGATGGGTCTGTGTCACTGTAGTAT